TTTCCAAGGTGGTATCTCTACGGAAGTAGATTGCCCAGTCTCCCTTCTGAGGAATGGCTGGTAGGTTTGAACCACCAGCCTTCTGGTTAACAGTCAAATTCCTTAGGCACTAGACTCTTAAAACCCCCAAGACTATGACCCCAAGTCACACCTTAGGCCTGAAATTGAACTCACTCAGCCAAACAGCAGACAGGCCTATGAACAGAACACCCACCCACACCAGGGAGATGCACTCCTTAGAACAATCAACCAAGGGAGATCAGAAGGGCAGCATTTGCACAGGGAGAAAGGTAAGGAGGCAGGAATGTATAGGCAATGAAAAGGTAACCACAGGGAGGAAGTGGAAGAGAAAAGAAAAGAAGGAAAATTTAAAAAGGAAGAAAGAAAATGTGTTTGCCAGATCTTCCAGCAGCCTCTGCTTGAAAGCACTTGCTTTCAATCACAGTTTAACTGATAAAGGAATAAAGCAAAATTAGAAATTTTACAACTTTAAAAACCATAAAAAAAAAGGAAAACTAAAACAACTCACCAATAATCCAATTCCTTACTACAACAATTTTTATGATTTCATCATTGGCTTTTATACATACATAGTTTCTTGTAGTTTTAGTTTACACACATTAGATTCGCTTTCATTTTTCACAAACATTTGTTTATGATTCTACCTGGTCTCAAAAACCTTTAATGGCTACATACATAATCTATTGTTTAAATGGACCACAAATTATTCAAAACATCCTTCAAGGGTTGAGCATTTAGATTGTTCCCATTTCTTTCTATAATGAAAGTGATACCATATGAACATATCTGTGCATATCGTTTTGTGGTTTGGTTGATTTTCTTTCCCTTAGAGTTAATTCCTAGGAGTAGAATTATTAGAGCAAAGTCATGTGTGTTCTGACTATGGATTTATATGAATGAGTGCTCCAGCTTCACTGCAACTTCACCAGCATCACATCTTATCACTGCAATAATTATTTTGCTAATTAAAATGGCATTCCAAACTTAAATGTATGTCTAAAGAACAGTCTCCAGTTCTAGGTTTTTAATCTCAATTTTTAATTGTTTATTCAACTTTACAACATCCATTCATCATGGTGAATGCAGAGCTATGCTTATTAGTATAAAAGGTGTCTGATTATATATTACAAAGTAAGAATGTACTATATAGTAGTTTTTATTTCAAGAGAGTTGGTGGATTAGACCATAGAGATTTATGTTGGAGAGGATCTGGGTAGATAAGAGTAGGGAGATAGAACTCTGCTCTGCTATACTCAGGGAGACTGAGAAGAGAAACAATGGTTACGGAGGAAAACAGGTTGGCGGTTCAAATCCACCAGCCACTCCTCGGAAGGAAGGTTGAGCAATTTACTTCCATAGTGATACTGCCTCAGAAACCCAAGGAGGGGTCTTTATGAGTCGGATCTGACTCGATGGCAAACAACAACAACTGTGGGTCCCTATTGCCCCTATCCTGACTTTGGCTAGAGTTGGGGGGTGGGTATAAACCAGGACACTCCCTTCACACTCTGTCCCATGTCTTGAGTCATGCTGGCCCCTATCCCATATCTCAACTGCCATTTTAGAGAGAATCAATGAGAGGAGACAAGAAACTGAAATTACAAGCTGATGACGTGAAGAATATGAGTAAAGCCTAAAGTCAACTTTCAAACAAATGGATCAGGCTAAGTTTTAAACCACTTTGAATTAAATTTGTGAATCTTTTTCCTGCTACCCAGCAGGTGGGAAGCTGGTGACAGAGATCAAACTAGTTTGGGAGACTAAAAATATTTCATTTACATTGTTCAGCTGAGTTGTGTATGGTGAGTAATTTTAGTGAACAAGCTAAAATAGTATGATCTTATTTTCGTGAAACTTGTGTACATGTATGCATATCTGCATAGAGAAATGTTGACAATGGTAAAGTCTGCATGGTAAGATCTGAGGGTTTTTTTTTTTTTTTTACTTATGTTTTGTGCCTTTCTATTTTTTAGTTCTTTGTTTACTATCACCTTATCATTTTTCGAAAATGAAAAAAAAAAAAATTTTTAAAGCTTAAATTTAAATCTCTTGACTATTTCAGACCTAAAGATACGTCTCAATTTGGACCAGGTACATAGATGTAAACCGTATTAGTTTTCTTCCTTTTGACCCCACGTAACTAGCCATCAGGGACTTCCCTCCTGACTCTGGAGAACCTCCATGCTTTCCTGGGCTTGCATCTCTGAGCAGAAAGCTCATAGGCAGCCCTGAAGCCCAACCCAGAAGGCTCCATGATTTTACCATAGTGATCATGTTAATTTTATTAAAGTGACATGTGAATTAAAAAAAGAAAGTTGAGTAAAACGTCAGTGACTTTTTTTTTTTAAGTTTGACTTGTCTTTTAAATCAATCTGGGATAAAAGGAAAGAAAGAACAAATACAGGCACAGCTTAGAAATATTGGCGGTTCAGTTCTAGACCACCACAGTAAAGCAAGTATCACAATAAAGCAAGTCACACAAATTTTTTGGTTTCCCAGTGCATATAAAAGTTAGGTTTCTACTATACTGGAGTCTATTAAGTATGCAATTGTTGTTGTTGTTGTTGTTATGTATGCAATAGCATTATGAAAAAGTTTGAATTACGAGAATAACCAAAATGTGACACAGAGTCACAAAGTGAGCACATGCTATTGGGAAAATGGCATGAATAGACTTGCTTTGCCACAAGACTTCAATTCGTAAAAAATGCAATACCTGCAAATTGCAATAAAATGAAGTATGCTTGTAATTAATGGTGAGTGCAGGCTACTACTTCCTGTGGCCTCCACAGCAAGCACTGTACTGTTCCTTTATTGCTTTAGACACTAAAGTTTAGAGGGATACTCTCTGCAATTGTTAAATGGACAAGATGATGGGTAATGTTTTCTCCGCTGCTATGGAATATGCCATTAGGAATAAGATTACACATATGCAACTAATCTATTTGTCTTATTTCTATTTTTCTACTCAAAACTCAGGAAATGGTCACTGAACAATGGAAGATGTACTGGGACAGATCTGTGAACAAGATCCACAAGTGCGACCCAAAAGATCATACTTTTTCTCAATTTCATTTGAAATGGCTTCCCCTTGCCTTTGTTTCACTCCTGCTTCCTATTAATTTTACAGCTTTTGAGAGTTTAAAATGTGATCTCACTTACACTCTCTCATTTGAGCCTCACAATAATCCCAGTATCATTAACCTTGTTTGGAGATGAGAAAACTAGACTCAGAGAGTTAAGGGCTTGTCCAAGTCATACAGCTATAAAGGGGTGATAGCAATGCCTCCCCCATCTCCAATCTCTACTCTAACTCACTTTTGACCACACAGAAGCCTGTTGGTGCTGATCACATTCTATTACGAACTGAAGACAGTTCCTTGGTATTGCTGTAATTATTGAATTTCTAAGACTTTCTTGAAGAAGGTCCATTGACAAGTATGTGCATATCCTTACACTCATCCCTTCCTCAGAGATTGGAGAAAGAAAGTAGAACTCCTTGTAAGGAAGTAAAAAAAAAAAAAGTAGATTGCCCAAACTTCCTTCTGAGGAGTGGCTGGTGGGTTTGAACCGCCAGCCTTCTGGTTAGCAGTCAAATGTCTTAGGCACTATGCCACCAGGGCATGGACTAATGGTGGGAGTCTCTGGGTGGTACAAATGGTTAACATTCTTGGTTGCTAACTGGAAGGTTGAAAGTTCAAGTCTACCCAGAGGTGCCTCGGAAGAAAGGTCTGTAATCTACTTCTGAAAAATCAACCATTGGAACTCTATGGAGCCCAAGTCTACTCTGATACACACGGAGTCACCATGAGTCAAGGTTGACTCGGGGCTCAAAAGTTTAAGGGACTCCATTCCTGTGTGTGTTTTTTCTCCAGTAGAGTCTGTAATCTTAAGAAAGGCCTTAAGTACTCGCCTTAGGGGTCTCAGTCTGAAAAATGTCAACTCTTACAAGAAATTCCATTGACCTATCCCTCCTGCTCAGCCCTTTGTGAAGGAGAAGCTCTTGGGGGGTTGCTCTTGGCACATGATTAGCTTATCTCAGCATTGATAATGCAGGAGCAGGAAAGGAAAGTAGCCTGGGTTAATGCTGCTTCTAACCATAATGAGTATTACAGCTATCATAGCTAAGTCTTCAACTTTACATGTAAAAATCACTGCATTTTAATCTAGTGATGAGAGAAATGGAAATACATAGCTGAAAGTCTAGCCCCAAATTACTTGTTAGGGGATTTTAGGAAGTTTACTAAAATTCTTCCAGGTTCAATTTCCCCATTAGCTATGAGGAACAGCAGCACATCACTATGGGGCTGGGAGAGGGGTAGTTTTTGTTATCAACATCGTCATCATTATTATAAACCCCCAAAAAAAGCCAAACTCACTGCCATTGAGTCGATTCGACTCATAGCCACACCTCCTTGGGTGTGGCTCCTAAGGAGTGGCTGGTGGGTTTGAACTGCCAGGCTCTGGTTAGCAGTCAAGTGCTTTAGGCACTATGCCACCAAAGCTCCTTATTATTATTATAAGTATTGGTTTTTAAATAGATAATTACGTTGAAAGCCATATAGAAACTATAAAATGTAAAATGCAAAATACCTTAACAGATACAGTAATAACAATGATTTTTCTTCTTATTCTTACTATTGTAAACAACAGCCAAAGAGTTATAGTTAGATATTCCTTCCTTCAAATGCTTTCAGAAATCAATATCCCCTTTCTTCACCATCATCACACTGATTCTATTCCCTTTTCTGTCATCATCACTTTCAGAACTTCAGATCTTTCTTTCCTAAGCCCTCCTCATAGCATATCTGACATACCTTTGAAACACATTGCAAGAAACCTCTAAAAGATATACGCTGTTTATCACATATGGCATCTTTAGTAGGTAAATGAATGCATCAGCCAGGGTCTTTCACAAATGTGTTCAAGCCTAATTGTGGGAATTGTGTCTTTCTTCTTTTATCACAGGGACAAGCAAAATGGTGACCTTAATAGATGAGACTGACACCAAGGTGGAAGCCTTTGCGACCACAGTCTATGACTACGGGGAAGGGCCATGTGAAAAAGTCAATATCAAGGATCTGGGGGCCCAGTTTCTGCCCCTACTGTATTCTCTGGTGTTCATTGTTGGCCTTTTGGGCAATGTGGTAGTGATAGTGATCCTCACAAAATACAAGAGGCTCAGAATTATGACCAACATCTACCTGCTCAACTTGGCGATTTCTGACTTGCTCTTTCTGTTCACGCTTCCATTCTGGATTCACTATGTTGGATGGAACAAGTGGATTTTTGGCCACTGCATGTGTAAGTTCCTCACAGGGCTTTATTACATAGGCTTGTACAGCGAGATCTTTTTCATCATCCTGCTGACGATTGACAGGTACTTGGCCATTGTCCACGCTGTGTTTTCCCTGAGGACCCGGACTGTCACCTTTGGTATTATAACCAGCATCTTCACCTGGGCCCTGGCAGGGCTAGCAGCTCTCCCTGAGTTTATCTTCCATGAGTTTCAAGAGGATGTTGAACAATCTGTCTGCAGCCCTCACTACCCGGAAGATAATGAAGATACCTGGAAGCGTTTCCATGCTTTAAGAATGAATATTTTGGGTCTTGTTTTCCCTCTAATCATTATGGCTATCTGCTACTCAGGAATCATTAAAGCGCTGCTGAGATGCCGTGATAGGCAAAAATACAAGGCCATCCAGCTCATTTTTGTCATCATGATGGTCTTTTTCCTTTTCTGGACACCCTACAACCTGGTTCTCCTTCTTTCTGCTTTTCAAGCGATCCTTCCTGAGAACAACTGTGAGCAGAGCAAACAGCTGGACCTGGCCTTGGCAATAACGGAAGTGATAGCCTACACACACTGCTGTGTCAACCCCATCATCTATGCCTTTGTTGGTGAGAGGTTCCAGAAATACCTCCACCACTTTTTCCACAGGTATGTGGGCATCTATCTGAGCAAATACCTTCCATTCCTTCCTAGAGAAAAACAGGAAAGGGCTAGCTCTATTTCCCCATCGACTGGGGAGCAGAAACTACTCTCTACAGTATTTTAGGTCTGATGCAGAAAATTGCCTCAAGAAGATGGACTGGGCAGATGGAGCAAAAGACATTAAGTCAACCACATTGACCTCGAGGCTAATCCTTTGGACTTCTAGTACAATACTGAAGCTCTTGAAGCCATTAAAATATATAAACAATAATGGCAGCATGTTCATGCACCCCAGAAGTCAAGGACTGAGCAGTTCATTCATCATCAATCCTGAAAAGCAGAGCTTTGCTTGATTCTCTGAAGAGTTATATAGATTTAATGCAATTGAATGTCAGAGAGTCACTATACACAGCTACACAAAGATAAAACTTTATGTTTTAAACCTTCACTGAAACCTATTTCACAAAATGCAATAAAGCAATTTTTAATGTGCCTGCTTCTTTCCTTACTTGATGAAAAAACCTTTTTTTTTTTTTTTAATATATAGATAACCACTCTCAGGCAATGTAATGGCATGTCACACCTGTCTTATTCAGAACAGATCAATTGAATTCTTACTCATAATGACTATTTGCATCAATAGAAGAGAAGAGCAGTTTGGCATTTTCAGTTTAGAAAGCATCCAAGAGTGAAGACTCACAGTCTGTAAAAGTAAAATTAAAAGATTTATTGAAAGTCCAAAGACTGTCCAGACCAGGAAAATGTCCACATTCACAGAGTGAAGATGACCATTCTGCCAGAGCAGAAAGAAGCCAGCAAATTTATACAGTCAAAGCAGGAACTAAAGCCACAAAATCATGATTGGCTAAAAGACCGTTAGGGAAGTTGAAGGTGGGCTATCTGAGAGTAGGGACCTGGTGGGGACTGGTGGATAACATATAGGTGGGATCACATGATTGGTTAAAGCGTCCATGCTGTTCAGTAAATTACAGGATGTTAACAAGACCTGGCCAATGGCAGGACAGGTTTTTCAGGGAACCTGTAATTTAAAAATTGCTTTCCCAGCCATGTTTGTATCTGAGGGCCCATTGTTAGACGATTCATTGATAATGCTGCATGTCAAGACACTTTGGGCATAGGCTATCACATCCTGCACCTGTTGAGCATAGAGAAACCCAACCAAAACCAAACTCACTGCCATCCAGTGGATTCCAACTCATAGCGACCCTTTAGGATAGTGTAGAACTGCCCCATAGGGTTTCCAAGGCTGTAAAGATGAGCAGACTGCCTCATCTTTCTCCTACAGAGTGACTGGTGGGTTTGAACTGCCAACCTTTTGGTTAGCAGGTAAATGCCCTAATCACTGTGCCACCAGAGTTTCTTAGCATAGAGGAAAGACCCTCTGGAAATAGCTCGTGACATACTGCATTTGCCAGACCACAGAGAAGAAAAATGTTTCCTTCAGGGTATCAGTTTAGGAGCTCTGGTGGTATAGTGGTTAAAGCATCCAGCTACTAACCAAAAGGTGGGTGGTTCGAACTCACCAACTGCTTCTCAGGAGAAAGATGAGACAGTCTGTTTCTGTAAAGATTTATAGCTGTAGAAACCCTCTAGGGCAGTTCTACTATGTCCTAAAGGGTTGCTGTGAGGTGAATGTATGGCAGTAGATTATAGGCTTTAGGTCAGCACACAGGATAGAGACTCTACCATCAAAAAAAAAAAAAAGGCGGTTTTAAAATCCAACATGGATTCCAGACTCATGTCAAGACTGAAGATGGAGTTAAGGCTTCATTTCCAGGCTGTTCTACTTATACACACCAAGTCTCTCTGATTTTTAGGCTCTCATACTGGAATAAAAATTCTCTCAGGCTCCTGAAATGTGGACACACTGTCCTTTTAACCATCAATGTCACATTGCAGAACACGCTAGTGGCTGCTCTATCTCCTCTTGGAGGCTTGAGCCTCCTGTACAAAAGTGGCCCTGGTTTGGAAAGGGAAGATGTTGGGCTTGCAGGGACCCTCTGAAGATCTCCAGGTCTTTCTTCTGAAGTGCCTTTGGGTAGATTCAGACCATCAACCTTTTGGTCAGTAACTAAGCACTTAACTGTTTGTGCCATCCAGGTAAAACCTATCTCGTAGGCTAAGGGAGAATTTAAACATCAAATCAAGGTGATGGCTTTCATTATTATGTGGGAACCAACTCTTCAATTCCTGAATTGAAACTGTGTCCTTTTGTGATCTCAAATGGTCATGGGACTTTTTTTTTTGACCACAGTCGGGGACTTCCCAAGTTTTCACTCAGGAATGGGGAAGAACTTCCATCTCTAATTCAATTTAAAAGTACAGAGATACAAAAGTAAAGATGTTTCCTATTTACTTTTCATGGTTCAACATGTTGTTGTTGTTGTTATGTGCCGTCAAGTCGGACCCGACTCATAGCGACCCCTCCTTGGGTTTCCGAGGCGGTATCACTACTGAAGTAGATTGCCTGATCTTCCTTCTGAGGAGTGGCTGGTGGGTTTGAACCACCAGCCTTCTGGTTAGCAGTCAAGTGCCTTAGGCACGACGCTACCAGAGCTCCTTTGGTTCAACATACTGGTGGCAAATTCAGAACTCTCAAATCTCAAGCACCAGCTTTCTAAGGGCCATGAGGAGCATATGTGAATTTTCAATTTTAAGTCCTGACTGGTAGGATTCAAATGGATGTTACAGAATCAGATCCTGGCTGAGAAATAGGACAAGGTGGGGGGGGGGGGCAGAATGAGCTATATTAAAGATACATACAGCTATAAATACAGAAATGGATATGGGTATAGACTCAGACATAAAAATAATTAATAATGCCTTTAAAATCCTATATACTTAGTCTTTGCCTCTTTCAAGATTAACCCTTCCTGGTTAAGTGAGAATTAGTTCACTGGTCACTAGCCACTGGCCAATTCCCATCAGAAGAAGGGATGCCTCTTGCAGAGTAGACTTTCCTCGGCTGAGGAAAGCTGCTCAATATTCAGAGAAGACAAGATTCTTCACGGCTTAGTTGGAGATCCTGGCCAAATCGGCCCCAATCCTCAGATGAAGTCTTTCATTTCTAACATAAGGTTCAATTCGGAAGTGTGAACACTAGGGGGCCTCCTTCAATGCCAGTGCCTCCAGCTAGCCCTGTCACTCGGTCTGCAGAGACTGTGTCCCTGAGCTGGATGCAGAAGTGAGGTTTTGATGATACCATAGCAAGGGACCCAGAAGTGCCTAAATCTGATCTTGTCCAAATACATTGCAAAACTCTGGGGGATGCCAGTTATATTCCATGAGTTGTGCAATGTACTAACCTCATGAGGAGGAACACAGTTCCACTTTTTTACTATCTGGGCTAATGCCAAATTCCCTGTAATGTACAACTCTGGTAAAGCTGGTTATAGCTCAAGGCCAAATAATTCCACCACCTCCCCTGAAACCAGAGGTCAAATATTATTCCAGAAGATCAAGCCCAAGCCCAAAACAATTGGCATGCTGAGAACATGTAAGAACAGAAGGGAACAAAGAAAAGCAACATGGCAGGACCTACTCCTATGAAGCACAACCCAATTCCTCATACTGCTGCTTGGAGAATGGAAATAGACTGGACTTGCTATTACATGAGTAAAACCTTTAAGCACACAGAGGCCCCAAACCCTCGTAAATGTGGCTCAATCCCTATTCTGAAATCTGGCCATCAGAATAGCAATTCCTCTCACTAGGGACAAGTGAGAATGGACAGAGAGGCAGGAATTTTCCTTACCCAAGATGCTGTTTATTGTCACACCTCAGTTGGTCACTGTAGTAGCTACATGCATGGACAGAGGTCCCAGCTTCCAGCTCCAGGGAACCTCTCCACATTGTTTTCCTCTACCCCTTACTCCTAAAACCTAGGGCTCATAAAGGGTCTCTGATGCTATTTGTCTCTGGGGACTGCACTGTCCCTTTACCCTGTTCTCCCCTTCGTAATTATCCTTTTATTATACTTTCCTTAAATTTCCCAATTTAAATGTGTCAACATTTTCCCATTGGGACCATGAGTATACAAAAAGACATAAAGAGATAGCATATAGCATAGGCAGAAGAAGAAGGAAAAAAAAAACTGCCATCAAGTTGATTCCAACTCATAGCAACCCTATGTTGTTGTTGTTGTTGTTATGTGCCGTCGAGTCGGACCCGACTCATCACTATGAACCCTCCTTGGGTTTCCGAGGCAGTATCACTACAGAAGTAGGATTGCCCAACCTTCCTTCCGAGGAGTGGCTGGTTGGTTTGAACCGCTAGCCTTCTGGTTAGCAGTCAAGTGCCTTAGCCACTATGCTACCAGAGCTATAGGACAAAGTAAAACTGCCCTCATAGGGTTTCTAAGACTGTAAATCTTTACAGAAGCAGACAGCCTCATCTTTCTCCTGCTGAGTGGTTGGTGGGTTCCAACTGCTGACCCTTGGTTTAATGGCCAAATGCTTTAGCCACCGCACCACCAGAGCTATAGCTAGTGTGTTAGATTGGGTTCTCTAAAGAAACACAATACCCAGCAAAGCGTATATATATATAGAGAGAGAGAGAGAGAGAGAAAAAAAAAAAAATTTATCTTAGGAAAATGGCTCACAAACGTATAGAAGCCGGCAAGTCCAAAGTCCCTGGAGGAAGCGTCGGGCTGGAGGCAGCCTTACCTTCCGCAACCACAGGGGGTCAAGAAATTCAAGGCTGGCAGGCAGTACACTGGTTGTTGACTCCAACAAAAGGCGAATCCAAGATCTCCAGGCCGAGCGGTGGGCTGCTCACTCACAGAAGGTTGTAGTCAGCACACCAGGGTCCCAATTCCTCCAAAAATGTCTCTCTTCCCAGGATGTCCCTGGATATCCTGGAAGCAGGCCACATCCCTAGGGAAACTCCCCTTGGGCAGGTTGGCCACTCAGAACACAGTCATCCGATCCCATCATGGGAACAACTACACAGAACTGGGGTCCAACCAAGTTGACACACAGCTCCAACTATCACAGCTAGCATAGGAAAAGGAGTTATCAATGATAGAAATAAATATAGTAAGTGTCAAATAAATGTTTAGAGAAGACTTCATGCAGGAGAAAAATCTAAATTTATCTTGAAGAC